AAAAATATAGTTATGTATGTTGGAAGTGTTCATCAAACAGGGTAGCAGCAAGAGTTAAGGTAGGATCCACATCAGTTTTTCAAATTACTCTTGGTTAAGACTTGGCTTTATATTCCCAGTATGTCAGAGTCTGATATTTTTCATCCATATCCTATTCAATGAGCCATTGATAGGATTGATGTTATAGCAAATGAAATTGCCTCTAAATGGTTACTTTCAATATGGGTATTTATTTCATCAAAGACTAAAAACAAACAGTTCCTGGGTTGGGCTAATTCATGAATCACACTTTGAATTGTACTGAGGTGGATCATGAAGGATTTTATTCTATCATAAAGGCAATGTAAAGCCACTGAGACATTTTAAAAAATCATAGACTTATTAAACAATTTATAATGCCAAGAGAAAGATACTATTATTCTCCTCATTTTTCTGGATTAGGAAAATGTGCCTCATATTAAGCATAAAAAATTTCCTCAAAATGGTTCACTGAGAAAAATACTGGCAACTCACATAATAACAAAGAGTTAATTTCCCTAAAACATAAAACACACCTGAGAATTAGTAAGAAAAAATATTAATAACTTGACAGAAAATGGGCAAAGAATAGGCCATTCACAGAAAGTAATTACTTAATAGTCTTTATATATATATAAACATGCTCAACTTTACTAATAGAAACTACAAATTTAAACTACTGACACACTAGCACCTAATAGAGTAGCAAAAGTTTGATCAAACACTCCAATGGGGGGTTATGGAAGAGAAAATACCTTCATGGTATCATTCTTAGGAGTATACATTAGGACACCTCCTATGGAAGGCATTATATATCTTTGGGACATTCACAAATATCCTTTTTCCTATGAAGGTATACATTAGGACACCTCCTATGGAAGGCATTATATATCTTTGGGACATTCACAAATATCCTTTTTCCTATGAAGGTATATTTACTCACCTAAATTTAATAGGTGGTGTTAGGGATATGCTTTAGCAAGGGAAATGTGAGCAAAAATGACATGAAGTTTCTAGGCAGAATTTTCAAGAGCCAGAGTGCATTTTGTATGTTCTCTTTTATTTACTATCTTTTCTATTGCTTTACTATTGTGACTGGCCAGTGCTGGGTACTTCTTGCTACTCCATAAAATTACAGAGGTAAGACAATTTAAAGCAAAACTCTTTAATATAACATGTAGCATGGGTAAGAAACAACCCTTTGTTGTTTTAAGTCACTGACAAAATGAGCAGCAATTTAGCATATGTACTGAAATTACAAATCTCTATTTCCCTCAGATATATTTGTACACATGCAAAATAACATACACAAAAAGGTTTCTCATTTCTAACATGGTTTGTTACATCAAATGACTGGAAACAATCAAATGAATATCAACAAAGGATTTGCTAAACACTTGCAGTACATTCATAGAATGGAATATTATACAGCTTCAAAAAGTGGAAAATTCTCTTAGAGCTAATATGAAAAGATTACTAAGTAAAAAAGAAAAAGATATTCTCAGTGTATATAATATGCTGCCTTTTATATAAAAGGAGTAAAATAGAAAACATTCATATTTGCTTATGCTTATATAATGAAATTCTATAATGATAAGAAACTAACAAAAATTATTATCTTAGGCAGAGGGGTAAAGGCATGACTAGGTAGAACTTCGATTACTAGGGTGGAAAAATCCTTAGTGCTATGTTTACTTTGTTTGTTCTCATAAACTCAACCAATCTTTGGCAAATCTCATTTCAAGTGTACATGGTGCAATTCTGCTTCTATCAGATCCCTCTTTTTTTTCTTCTTCTTCTTTTTCTTGGTATTGGGGATCAAACCTAGAGGTGCTTTACCACTGAGCGACATCCCAAACCCTTTTTTAAAATTTGATAAAGGGTCTCACTAAGTTGCTGAAGCTGGCCTTGCAATTCTCCTGGCTCAAATTCCTGAATTGCTTTAAACTATGGCTGGCCACGACTCATCAACTGCCAGTTACTTTACCCATGCTAAGAATTCTTTTACTATTGTTCTCTTACTCAAGTAGCAATAGTACTTAAGTACTATAGTGGCTTAAGTAGCAACAGTACTCAAGAAGCAATAGTACTTAAGTAGCAATTGTAGTTACTCCTGGATAAACTATGTCTTTTCTCCAGCTGCTTCCAAGCTTTAGCGACTATTTTTAGGTATATTTTTTTTTTCCTTTGAAAGACTGAATTCTCTCAAAAAGAAAAAGTCATATTTTAAATTATATCAGTTCCAATATATTTTTATTTTTCTCATCGAGTTTTCATTTTACATGGAGAATATGACTTTACTTTCTTTTAAATAAAAATTACAAGATCATTAATTTTGAAAAAATAGTATTAATGACATTCACTCTATAAATGTTCACTTTAAATGTTAGTTTACCTCATATTGGTCTACATCAGGCCCTCAGTGTTGTGATTGAGCAGCCCTGTCCCACAGAAATTTCTTACAATATTCCTCTCAATATGTGTAGATTCATTTAAAAATTATACACACATAAAATTGTATTAATGTTAATTACATTATGAAAGTTAAAATGGAAAAGCATAAAAACAATCATTTAAATTTTTAAAAATATTAATGATAAAAATATTTGCTGTTACTAAAAATACTGGCAGTATTAATTTTTATCAGTGAAAGAAATGTAAAATAATATTTAGTTGCAGAATGACTTGAAGGTTTGGTTTCACATTTAATTATTTCAATAAATTGATTTTCATGGCTGTCATAGTGAAGGATACCAATACATCAAGTATAATTGGTTTCTACATGCCAATTTTTAAAAGATTCTGTTGAAATCTGGCTAGTAAATTTCGTCTTCTCTGATGTCAGTCAATTGTTCTTATGAAAGGGTCAAAATATTTTTTATATTTTACCAATTTCAAACCTCACTGAAATTTTTCATTAGAAAGATTTAAAATATGTTAATACTCTCTTTCCACGATTTTAGGCCACATAGTTTTGAGTTTTTATTAGTAACACTCATTTTGAGTAACAAAGGATCAGATGTACACATATATACAGAAAGAAGGATTTCAAACATCTGTATTCAAAATGCTTTCTACAAAGCAGTTACTTTTTCAATAATTATTAAAATTCTATCTTTTCCCTTAAGGGTCAAACTTAAGATCCTTTAACTTGAGGCTAGAACAATTTGACCATCAAAATAAATGACAGTAATGGATTACAACTCTCATCATAAATTAGAAATCCATGATTCCATACTAACATAATTAAATTAACAGGAGAAAATGAAATCTCCTTATAGTAGAACAACAACTAATTAATGTAGAAAGGATAATGAAAGCAAAGTTACTACTTGACAACCACCATTAGTGGTGACAACCTCAGAAAAAAGTCATCAATGGATACTAAGGTGGTAGGTAGAGATTTGATGAGGCACACGGTATCAATAGTCTAAGAGGATCTTACTACAAAACACATACCCATTACAAAGGGAAAGAGGGGTATCTCTTTTTCAATATTTTTAGATGTATGTGGACACAATATCTTTATTTTATTTAATTTTATGTGGTGTTGAGAATAGAACCCAGTGTCTCACACGTGCTAGGCAAGCGCTCTACCACTGAGCCAGTAACCCCAACCCAAAAAGGGATCTTTTGACAATGAAGAAACCAGGACAGTACAAATTCAACCAAATGATTAAGGCTATCACAAATTGTAGAACAGGTAGCCATCTTATACTTCTTGATGCAATGCACTGATAAGAGCACAGCACAGGTTTTGTGTAATTCCAATCGAGACGGCATGGCCTGAGTGTGAACATGAATAAACACTGAATGCATCCAAACTGAAGAACATGCTACAAGATGAAAGGCCTGTACCATTTAAACAGTTAAAGATAGAAAAGATGAAGAACTATTCCAGACTAAGGGAAGACTAAAAAGGTGACTACTAGGGCTGGGGTTGTGGCTCAGCAGTAGAGCACTCACCTAGCACGTGCAAGGTGCTAGGTTCAATCCTCAGCACCACATAAAAATAAATAAATAAAATAAAGGTATTGTGCCTAGCTATAACTAAAAATAAAAAACCAGACATGACTACTGAATACAACATGTCATCCTGGATTAGATTCTGAATCAGAAAGAAAAATGAGACACTGTCAGAATAGTTGGCAAAATTTGCACAGGGTCCTGATTATAATATTATTGTTTTCCTGATTTGGATGGTTCAATTGTGGTTACTCAGGAGAGTACTCTCATTTTCAGGGAAATACAAGAGCATTTAGAAGAGAAAATACCATACTTCCAACTTTCTCACAAGTAGTTTAGAGAAAGACTATTCCTAATACAGCAAAAGCAGATAAAGCAAATGTGAAATGCTGATAGCTGAAGCATCTGGGTCAGAGGATGCGAAAGTCTATCTACAGATTATATACTGACAGGTTTTAAGTCATCACTTAAAACTATCCCTTCTGCCTGAAGACTAGAGTCTATCTATTGACACACAGATTAAGGACATGTCAAACTCATAACCCAGAAAATTTTAAAATATTTATTTTTATTTTTGCTTTTTTATACTCTTTCAGATCTTAATGTATTGATGTTTTGGGCCTTAAATTAGTGATCCCATAAAAATTTCTGTAACCTATTTCTGGCCCCACAATATCAGCCAGTAATATTTGAACTGGCTAAGGAAGAACTGATCCAAGAGGCCTTGAAATGGTCCCCTACCCTCATCTGTGGCTTCAAAGAGATGATGGTACTGAAAATAAACATAAAACTTTACCTTCAAGCTCTCAACCCACTAGCTCTATTTGATTTTCATTAATTAGCACAGAAAAAAGCTAAGGCCATCTCCCCTATCTTAAGACTCTGGTTTAGTTGCCATGCATTCCAAGAAGCACACTGTAAGAAGATGACTAATCACTGACTACTTCTCCAGCACCATATGTCTCTCAATTTCAAAAGAAAAATTGTCCCAATCAGAATCAGAACAGATTCCCTACCTCCTGCAGCTGGAGTCGGACCTTGGTCACTGCTCGGATCCAGTGTGCTCTGGCTTGGGTAAATGGTGAAGATGCATTCTCCTCAGGAAAACTTGTATCAAAGAAAAGAATATTTGGGGGCAAGAAAAAAAAAACATGAGTTACAGGGGATAGGGCTCAAAGCAAGATCTCCAAATATCTAAAATAAAATGATTTGTATTCATGCCTACACTTGTTTAGTGATTCAGGCCACTAAAACAGCATTGTCCTGAATACTTAATGTGAAAACAATTCCTCTCTAAAATGACAATTCTTTTTTAGCTTTTCATCTGTTCCTACTTTTGCTTCTCCTTTTTTCAATTACCCAGTGAGGTGGCTCATTAGGATAGTCAGGAATCATGACACTAGAAGTAATAGCAAGGGCCCTAAGTTAATGTCAACCACAGAAACCAGTCAGAGATATGTGGAATAATCCTCTCACTTACTTCTTGAGACCACCAACCTTCTTTGGGGGTTCCACATAGCTTCCTTAGGGAGGAATTTTGTTCCTGCAAACCGTTCCTGCTCCACTATTTTAGAAGATGTACCAATTCCTAAACTACATAAAAAGTGCCAAATAAATAAATAAATAAATAACAGTCCTTTCCTTCCATGATTTGATCCTTGAGCTGCCTGCCTCTGGAACACCCTCAGAAAAAATGAACAATAAATATCAGAGAAACGCTACTTTATATTGGAACAAGTCATCAGCCACATTCTTAACTTGAATACAGTTAATTCTTGGTGCTAATGCTTCACCTCCTTCCTTTGGAGCCTATAGCCAAGGCAGAAGACAAACATTCACTACCCGTACATGCAAAAAACATGTTAGACTCTGAAGTCATCTAAATGAGTCAACTATTCTAAAACATTTGTAGAACTGGGCTTCACATGCACAGAGAGAACCCGAGAAGACAAAACCTGAAGAAAAGGATAGGTGCTCATTCTGGGCACTTCTGTTTCTCTACCAAGAGCTCAACCCTGAGAAAAGTAGCTGCCAAATCTCAGCTCCACAAAGAGCCAGCCTTTCAATGGAACATCAATCTAGTGAGAAGGCTGGTGCTGGTCCAGAGCTCAGTGATCCAGTGTCTTGCCTACTAGATGAACCACAAGAGATAGTAAGTTTATGTCTTCAGAGAAGTATGTGACTCATTCATTAATCTAGTGGTGTAAGAGAAGTCCCAACAATTTCTTAACTTTTACCAGGTAACTGGCATTTACTGCTTTTGGCTTTTTAGTGACAGACTTTATTCTATCATTATTTTAGATACTGTGGTAGTCAAAACTGGAGGTTGTTAATAGCATCTAACGTGCATAAATAGCTTCCTATAACAATTATCTGGCCGGCCCAGAATATCAATAATGCCTAGACTGAGAGACCTGCTATACTCCAATTCCTCCTCAGCTCCTCTAACCAATTTAAGTCAATAATAGTAATAATATTCAAAGTCTGTATTAAGCTCAATTATAAGATTATTAAAAGTGACAAATTTTAAAATTTTCTTCTTATGGTTTCATATTGCCAAATACATTGCCAAGCCCAGGGGAAACAGAGGGGTGAGTTAAATCTGTCCTCTTGATCAATTCTTAATTCTGTCCTAGTTTTTCTCAGGAAGCATAAAAAAAACAACAATACTGTTTACAAAAGAAGTTAAAACATCAATAGACTAGGAAACCAGCAAGGCACCCAAAGTAGCCCCACTGAATGCAGGACTCAGGTGGGGTTTTAGACTCAGAAACTGCCATATGCAGGATCAAGAACAGCAGATACAAGAAGCCTTAGCAGACTGCAGCTCACTAACTCCAGAGAACTCAGTGTTCTGACTTCAGAGATCTCCCAAATATCTTAGGAATTCTACCAAAAAATGAAAAGAAGCAGTGCAAATTTCAGCATGGATGTCTTGCACCCCACCATACCCAGCTGCAAAGAAACAAATGAAAAACTCTTATATTCAGTAATACCACAGGGCAGGTACTGAGGAAGCATGTGGGACAGTCATCACCTACCTCTCCTGGGGGTGTAGGACATGGTCCTTGTGTAGCACCAGATCTGGGGGAGGATGGGCTATGGCATCTTCTCTCATCTCTTTGGGTTCACAAGCTCTCCCCTTCTCTGTTTCACCTGTAACTTCCAAGGCTTTTTCTTGTTCTCCAAAGACAGCCTGGCCATCTCTGGAGAGACTACCAGAACTGTGGCAGGAATGAATTGAATCCCTCTCCCGACGATCATCATCTTGTTCGTGATATTGGTCTAGTTCACTCAGCTGAGAGCTTCCTTGACTCACATTACAGGAGGAGCCATACCTACTACTGCTGGTGGGGCTGTAAGATTTAAAAGAAGACAGATGAGTAAATAAATGCAAACTAGGGACCAGGGTACAAGTATAGATAAATTCAGGAAATAAACATTACAACAAGGGCAATAACCACAAACAGGAGGTTCCTAGGAAGAGAGGACCAAACATCCTAATCTAGAAAACTAATCTCTATTAAGCAGAATCACAATAGGGAAAAAGCAATGTGCTGGGTTCTCCCACAGCATTTAACTTCAGCCCTACACCTACCCTTTAAGAACAGTTTATCTTAACATGCTATTTTTCAATAGAAATAGTAAAATGACTACTGCCTATCCCTAAAATTCTTTAGTCTTCTGGATAAACTTGTCCAGTGGCTGTGATTAAAGTTCGCTAATTTCCACATAGTGGAGTGAATGAATCTACTTTTTCTATTATTTAATAAAATAAAGCTCTTATTTATTTCTCCACAATTATAAATGTGTACGCCTATATCATAGCATAATCAAATAAGAAGGAACATGTTCCTTCAATTACCTCTTAGACATTTGTAGGATGAGTTAATGGAAGCCTTTGGGAGATAGAGGCCAAGACCAAGAAATTCCACAAAGGAGTGTTCTCATCCACATAAATGCTACAGTATAACTATACCCCTGGGACACAGAAGTATCCCAAAGATAAACTTCTCCTTTGTATATCAGTTTCTCTCAGGGAAAGAATCAGTTATGGATAAAGTAGACAAATCTAACCCTTCTGGGTCATAGTCATATTAATGCATCTCCATATCTGAAATAAGGTTAGCCCAACGCTCTCTCAAACACCTGAATTCCCATGTTGAGAAAAAAATCTGTCCCCCCACAATGAGAGTTAGTTGTGGTAGGGAAAGTGGTGAAAATGGCACAGTAGTGGAAAGAAGGGCAGTATCCATGATACTCCCTTGAGCCTAATAGTCCTATCATCTAAAGGAGTCAGCCCTAATAAAGACAGAGGGACTTGATGTTATCTGCATCCCAAGTCAGGAGTCCTCATTTTATTACTGGTATCCTGTTGGAAAGCTTCCATGCCAAAAAAAAAAAAAAAAAAAAAAAAAAAAAACCAAAACAAAACAAAACAGGAATTTTCTTGTGACAGAGTCAAGCCTTTAACTAAAGGGCTTAAATTTATTTATCCTTGGTTAAATTAAGAGAAATCATTGATTTCTTTTTTTCCAGTGATATTTTCCTTACGGTTCCTCTCAATTACCTGCTGTTTTTAGGCTGATTTCCTATTTGCATCACATGTCAGCAGAATAGTAATAAGTCACTGTTCTGAGTAGTCCCCAATGCACATATACATGCACACACGTGTACCATGCCCTGCCCAATCTCTAAAACCCTTGACCAGCTCTTCTGGATATGTTTGGGTCAAAGGTCAAGGTAGCGTTCTTATTATGATTATTATCCTTCTTTTTAATCATAAAGTCTTTTCCCCCCCAAGGTAGCACTCTTAAACTACACTGTTTGGTATTATTGAAGAACTATAATTTTGGATAGCTGAGCTCCTGCAAGACTTTACCAAAGCACTTTCAGCCTCAAGGTGGTTCAAAGCAGAGAATAATGTCTGATGAGTAAAGTCTCATAGTAACTTGGGCTACCCCTTGCTGTAGTTTTTCAGTATAGAGCATTATGAAACCTTGGTATCAGAGATTGATACCTGACAAAAAGCTATTCAAATCCATGTTGAATAGAATATAGATTGTTCTAAGTCTTTTTTTTTTGTATTTTACCTAATATCCTTATGGCCACTGGAGGAAGCATCTTAGAAGATGTGGAAAACCAAAGCAAATTAGGTTTCTCCCTATGTAGTATAAGATGTAAGTGCCTAAGACCAAACCAAGGAAGAATCCAACTCTATTACATAGTTGTAATTAATATATGCCCCTTAAATACTTGCTCCCTCTTCCTGCCCTCCCTTTCTCCATTCCACATTATATAAAGAAGAGCAAACCAGAGTGAGTAAATCTCAGGGCTCAGCCTTTCCTTTAATCAAGAAGCTCCTTGTTCCAACAAATGGATTACATTTGACATTAGAGAGAAGGGAGAGAATGAAAATACCAATGTGTTAGTTCTTATCACTAACCCCTAATTAATGTGAAGCACAGGTGTTAGGAAAGACACAGAAAGGATAAACAGCAAACTAACATAATCTAACACTAAGTCATCTGCATCATAAATGGTCAATTCCTTAAAACCATTTATGATGCTTGAGTTGAGAACAGGCCTTTTGTTGGTCATTGGTTCCTTAATGTCATCTAGAGTGAGTGGTCGCTGTTCACTTGAAACACAGTCAGTACTAGCAGGTAACACCTCCTCTTCTTGTTTTCCTGGCTGATTAGGCAGCTCAGAGACAGTGCAGTGTTCTTCTTCTGGTTTCCCTGAAGGACAAGTGGAGCCAGAGAGACTGCCTTGGGCACCTCCAAGTTCTCCAGATGCTGAGATACTAGCAGGCAACACTTCCTCTTCTTGTTTTTCTGGCTGATTAGGCAGCTCAAAGACAGTAGAGTGTTCTTCCTCAGGTTTCCATGAAGGACAGGTGGAACGATTGCCTTGGGCACCTCCAAGTTCTCCAGATGCTGAGATTTCCAGCTGGGTTTTTACTTCTTCAGGCCCTGACAATCCGTGAACAGAGACACTGGGCCTGGCATCTAGCTGCTCAGAGGTCCCAGAGGACTGAGTTAAGACCTCATCTGGCTGAGCACTGGCTACAGGTATTTGAGAAGACTCTGAAGCTTTGCTGGCCTCACTGGAGTTAAGATCATTGCTGATAATCAAAATTGGAGGGGAGGATTCTCCAGGAACATGTTCAGAGTCCCCTTTGTTCTCTTTGGGCCATGAAAATGAAAGATCCAGTTTCTTTCCAAACCCTAGTTTTGAATTACTTGGCGGTACACTTCCTTTATTACCTCTCTCAAATAGAGTTGATAACTTCTTAAAACCAGACATTAAACCACTCTCTACTGCTTTGTTGCCAGAGGGAGAAGGTGAGGAAAAGAAAGAGCTCAGTGTCTTCCCACGGTCAGTAGTAGAGGATGGGAAGCGAAGCTTTGGCCAGTTGGTCATGTTTGGGATCTCAAAAAGAGGTCTTGGCTGCTCCATTTCCTGAGGGACTGCAGGTGGATCTTCCTGGGCATTAAGTACCCCACAAACTTCTTTGGCATAAAGCACAGGTTCTTCCTGCAGAGGATGAAAAATATCCCCTTGGGTTTCTGACGTGGTGTTCTCATTGACATTTCCCTCATCAAACAGTGTAGTATTGGTTTCTAGTGAATTGGTTGCCTGCACTTCCAAGATGTTTTGGTTTGTAGAGGCAGTCTGAATAGCTAGCTCTGGCTCAAGAAGAGGTGGTTGAGTTGGAGGAGGAAGCTCTTCAGTAATCCAGGCAGGATCTGTATGCAACTGTGTTGGTAGCAGAATATGCTCTGCTTCTAATGATGCCTCTGTGTCTGTACCCTGCTGCATTCCCATGTCTCCTCCATCACTTAAAGACAATACTCCTTGCCTCATATCATCCTCTGAGACAGAAGATGTAGCAACTGTTTCAAAACCTTGGGGTTCTGAAACATTTTCAAGAACATTATTTTTTTCCGTTTTGGTTGTTAGTTTAGAGTCGTCTGTCAAGCCATCTAATTCTGACTTTGTACTAACCACAGTCATTCTACAGTCACTGAGAGTAGAATCTGAATTGAGTCCTGCAGAGGCAGCTCTATGCAAACTTTCTGGAGGTATGGATCCCACAGCCTCTCTGGAACAACCATTTTGAAGCCATGAAGTAGCAACAGATGATTCTTGTTTATATGTTTCTGGTTTGGAACTTTTGAAAATTCCAAACAGCTCACCTTTGAGAGGCTGAGATGATGCATTAGAAGAAAAAGAGAGAAAGGAGTTTTTCTTTGGAGATTTAGGAGAAGAGAAAAGTCCAGAAAAAGTTTTAGGAGGTTCAATTAAGCACCCAGAGAAAGATTTAACTTTGGTCATAAACCCTGAAAGCATTTCTACTTTAGAGTCTAGCATTGATTTGTCCTCCTTTTTATCTGCATCTCTGTTCTGGAGGTGCCCTGCAAACCCAGGGTCTGAAGAAGCAGCAGCTGGCTCCTTGATTTGGGGTGAGACTTCATCAGAGACCATTTCTAATGGTAAGTTCAGTGGGTCTGTAGTAAATGTTTCATTTTGGCATTCAGTACAAGCATCTAAATCATTGAGTTTTTCATTCAAATGGTTATCATAAGAAAAAGACTTGGCCAGAGAGTCACCAGCGAAGGCTTTCTGGCTCAAAGCCTCTTCTTTCTGGGGAGTTGTTACTTCAAGGGTTTCTGGGTCAATGAAGAACGTTTCAGCATGTGACTGAAATCCTGATGGAGGAGGAACAGTGTCTTTTTGTACCTGATCCACCTGAAAATCTAAAGATATCTCTGGTTCATTACTGGAACTCAGTTTTCCCTGTGTTTTCTCTACACTGAACTCATCTGCCAGGGAGGTAATCTCAGTGGTGTTGCTAGTGGAAATACAAGGGGCCAATTGTTGTTTATGAACTACTTCTTGAGCTATGCTGTCTCTATGATCACTAGAACCTTCCCTAGTCATTGAGACAACAGTGTCTACAAAAACACTTGGCTTCTTATAGGGCTGGGTAGTCACTGGAGCAACAGGAGTCTGCTGCTTTTCATCCAAAAAGGACAAGCTGAAGAAACTGAAACTAGAGCTCTTCTTACAAGAGGTATCCTTGATGCTTGAGTTAGTAGTGGAAAAAAAGGAAGGAAGTGTGAATAGCCCTTCTGCTTGAGATCTAGCTCTTGGTAAAGCAGTAGAGGCTCTGTTCTCAGATTTTTCAGATCTATTCAAGAAAGAAAATATACTCTTTCTGATTGGTGGTTCTGGTTGAGATGGAGATGTTGTAGCAGTTGAAAAACTCCAGTCTTTACCAGGAAGATGATCTAGTTCATTTGATTTTCTTCTGCTCAGAATATCAAAAGGAATTTTACTACTTTTTGGACCTTCTGTCACTGTGGACATGTCACTAATTTCTTTTGAAGAATCTCTAGGAGAGTCTTTGAGACAACTTGTTGAGAAAGATGGTTCTATTGACTGCTGGATTAGGTGGTCTCTGAAGGGTTTTTCTTTTTCGTTTAAACTATCCTGGGTTTCCTTGATTGATGGTTCCCTTAGCCAACTGTCATCAATGGTAGCCTGTTTGTTCAGACTTCTACCTCTAATCTTCCCTTCAACATAAACTGCTGCAGGAGTTTCTAAGTTCCCAATACCTTGACTATTTAGCTGTACAGAATTAAGACTTGACTTGACCTCATCCTTATCATTTGCTGAAGAAAGAGGCATATTTTCAGTTGTTTGTATGGGAGATACATTGGTTTTAAAGAATTCCCCAAGGGTACCAAAAATATGTGAAACACTAGAAGATTCTTTCTTTTCCTGAGATGATGTCTTTACATTTTTATCACCATCACTCTTTTCCAAGTTTGATGATTCTTCTTTATTCGCCTGGGTTTTAAAGAGGTTCAAAAATCTAGATGCCTGTTTTTCATTTGCCATTGTTCCTGCTGAAGATTCTTCTCGACCAAAGAGCTTCAATGCACTTTTAAATAATGTTTTCTCAGGCTCTTTGGAAGACTGTTGCTGAGGAAGATCACACCTTTTGTGCTCATCCCTACTAAACTGTGGTACAGGAGTATCTGAAACAGAATCAGCTGTAATGATTTTATCATCTTCTTTACTTGATTTAGCCTGAGATAATGTTGGACTTACTTGATAATCAGATTTTAACAAACTTTGTTTTTTCACAGGAATACTTTTATTTAAGGGGAATTCTTGCCTTATATTTTTAGTAAAGTCTCGCTGCTGAACATTGGATACTGTCAGTTTCTCTGAATACTTAAGTTGATTTTCTTCCTTCTTTTGGGAGTTACTCTTCAATTGCTTACTCAAAATTAATGGATGAAGACCATCACTTGTAAGTTCTGCCAGTTTTGACTGCTGATCCATTTTATGCATGACTAAAGCCTCTGGAGATTCACTTTTATCAAAATTCAAAGTACTTTCAACCAAGGCATCCCAAACAGAAAATAATGGAGTCACTTTGTTCACTGATGGTGTCTCTTCTGCTTGCTGCAAGCCTTTAGTCAAATTTTCAGGATGAACTGAAGAGGAAGCTTCATCAGAAAATGATGGAAGCCACTGGAAACTGGAAAGGTGAACTGAAGAATCTTTAGCTAGAGGCTGGTTCTCACCTCTTGCTGTAACTTGACTTCTGTTCAAGACATGATTACTAATAGTTTGGGGCTGATTTCTGAGATCCAGCGTACATTCAGAGCCACAGGGCCTTTCTTTGGAAGATAAAAGATCTCCTTTAAACTTCTGAGGATTATAGACTGAAAAATCCAATGGCTGATCCTTCTGGATTAAACTTGACTGTTCAAATGCTTGTGAAAAGGTTTCTAAATTTAGATACAATGGTCCCTCCCTTCTTGGCAAAGCTACAGATAAATCAACAGGGTCATCAATTGGTTGTTCTTCAACATACCACAATATTTCATCTTCCTTGTCAATTACTTTAAGATTATGGGCAGAAATAATGCTGTCATCTAACGTAATACTTGATAGATAATTTGTCTGTAAATCATAATTCAAATACTCTTCATAAGAATAATCTGGTATATATAAATATACATACTGCCCAGTAGAGTCAGTAAGGAGAGAATAGATATATTGACTATCATGGAACATATAATATCCATAATCCCCATTCTCTGAGGGCCACCAGACTCCATTTTCAAGACATGACAACCATTCCTGATATTCATAACCAAAACCTGAAAAAATAAGGTTTCTATCCATGCTTAATGATTCTTGATCAACTATGGAGCATGAAGTTTTCTCATGTGAAGAATAACTTAAGTCAATAGGCAAGTCTTCTAGTGAATTCTTCATCTTATTAATTGGAAGGTACACAGAATTTCCATATAATGAGTTAGCTGCCCACATATCACCTCTTAATAAGTAATCTTCATTAAATGCTAACTGGTCGGATGATTCATATGGTAAGTCACACCAAATGACACTGTTTGGATTTGTTCTCCACTCCAAGCTTTTTGAATTTTGATCTTTCTGGCAAAAATTTATTACTGGGTTTTGTGAGTCAGGCCAAAAGAAAACATCCGCTGATGGAAATGTATTTTGATTCAACATATAATAAACTGGCTGAGGTTTTCTGGAATTTTTAGAGAGATCTTTGATATCAGAGTCCCATTCAAAATAGAAAGGATTGCTCATGCCTTCGAAAGTCTGATAATGATTTGATTTATTAAAAATGTTAGGATTTAATACAGGTGAATTTACTGTGTTTAATTTTTCACGTGATTTTGCCTCAAGAATATGGTTTGGTGTCGGCCTCTCAATCAAAGATTTCTCTAAGAGGCCCTGTTCAGAACTGGCAGCACTTTGAAATACTATGTTCTCAGAAGTGGGGCAATGCTTTTCATTTTGCTGGGTTTTGCATGGAGGAGGGCAATAATGATTATTAACCCAAGCATCAGATGCTGGTATGTTTTCTTTTGATAATGATAAAAAGCTTTTTATGAAGCCTGAAGTTTCATGTTTTTCAACCCGGTTTATCTTGTTCTCAGAAGTCACACATGAAGTAGCAGGGCTCTTATCTAAGGATAAATGTTTATTTCCATCCAAACTTTTAATGTCACCTAAAGACATAAACTTTGCTTCATCTGCTTTACAATCACTCGTACTGCTATTAGATATCAAGTTAAATAATCCAGAGAGTAATAAACTTGGAGTACTATTCTTATGAGAGGAATCATTGTTTTTTGAATTTAATTCTTGTTGATTAGACAAGTTTTCAGAAGAAAACCTGTTAAGTAGGCCAGAAAGGAGGCCCCCTTGTGTTTGTTTTTTGGAAGTATTTTCTATAACTTTGTCTTCATTAATCACTGTGGATTTTGAAATGGTAGAACTAAACTCTAATGAAGATACTGTTGAAAATGTCACTTGTGTAAAATTCTTACCTTCTCCTGAAAGATCTGAAGTTTTATGTTTTGGGGACACAACTCCAGGGATAGGTAAGGCACCACTTTCATAACTCTTTACTGCTGTATGGTCATTTGGATTTAATTCTTCTATACTCCCAAATTTCCCAAAATTGTTAATAATATTTGAGGCTGAATCAGCATTTATTATATTTAGTTTGGCATCTTCAGAACAATGTATCTGCTCATTCTTATTAAATTTCTCTGTACTGCCAAATTTCCCTAGATCATTATGAATATTTGGAACTGAGCTAGACCTTATTGAACTAAGGTTGATATCTTTAGAACAATGTACTTGGTCATTCTTATTAAATTCCTCTGTACTACCAAATTTCTCCAGATTGTTATGTACATTTGGAAGTGAGTTAGATTTTACTGAACTAAGTTTGGCCTCTTCCTGGTAATTTCTTTGGATCTCTTTATCTGTGGTTACTGCCGAGTCATGAAAACTCTGGTCATTAACAACTTTATGACTATCAGTGAAAGGAAATTTAAACAAAGGAAAAATGCTTCCTTTCTCTTTTAAATCCTGCTGCTTTTCAGAATGGCTAAGAACTTTGAAAAATGGAATATGTAATTTTCCACTAAAGGAAAAGGAATGTCCATCTTTCTTAGGGCTGCTTTCCCAGCCATCTTCTTTCACCTGGTCAATTTTCATAGATTCTGACAAAGTTTCCTTTGAACAAGGCTCAGGAGAAGTGAACAAAAACTGGCTAAAGGATTTTCTGAGTGGCTCAAGGAAATCGTCATCACCAGTAACTTTGTCCTTCTCTAACAGCTTTGAAGAAGCCTCTTTATTTGCAGGTCTACTGCCAGACACACAAATGTGTCCTGGCTTATCTTTGGCACATATTTTTGGGTGATCTGGTAATAGAGACAAATCTACACAGGTTTTTCTTTCAAACAGATTCTCATCTTTCTTACTTGCACAACTAGCTGAACTTGAAGGTTCGTTGGCCACTTGGGAGGACCACAAATCTTCACTTGCTTGCATTTGGAACTGGTCTCTGGTTTCTCCTTCCCTCCTATTTAAAGCAGTGATGCTACCACTGTGATTGTCAAGGGTGTCCTCCCTTTGATTTGACTCTGTACCACATCCAACAAAGCTTTCTCTCCTCAGTTCTTTACTCTGATCATCTTTTTTAGTTTCCTCTTTTTCTGAAAAGATTTTTAGTGGATTTAACATGCTGAAAACAGACTTTATAACTGAGCTTTGTGGAACTGAGTCCCTTTCAGTAGTTTCTATTACATTCTCAAAGCTTAGATTCCCCATCTTATTGCCCATGTGCTCATTTCCAGAAGTTCTGCCATGTTTGTTCTTATCATCAACTGTTTGAGAGGATAATGAAGACTGCATGGAAAGATCTTTCTCCAACACTGAGTTGGCACTGGGTTCAGATTCCAAATTAATTGTCTCTGTTTGATTAACAGTCTCTGTTTTCTCTGGAACTATATAAACCAGTTTTTCCACAGAGTTTGTTAAATGCTTTGTGCCAGAACCCACCTTTCCTGTGAGTGAACTGAATAAAGAACCAACAGCACATTTTACTCCATTCAGCTCAGGGAAAGAAAGGGTTTTGTCCTTGTCATCCTTGGTAATAGTTAAAGGTGGTATTTGATCCTTAGGCATTTTCTGTTTTGCATCATCAATTGTACTATTTTGTTTATCTGTTTTTTTTGTTTTTGAAAGGGGACCAAATCTATTAATCTCCTCTTCCTTCTCTGCTAAATATTCTGATACTGTTTCTACTAAACACTGAAGTTCATCCATTGTATCTACATAGTCCTCTTTAGATTCCTCATTAGAAGGGGTCATGTGTCCCATAGAGCACCCAACTGTATTTGCATCACAATTTATGCTTTGTAATTGCAATGCTGGGTTCTCCACATAATATTCATCAGAAAAGTCTCCAATATGATGGACACTGGATGGATGCCATGTTGATGACAGTAAATCTTCCTGCTCATCAGAAATGGGGGAGCCCAGGAGTTCTTCAGAAGTACTGCTAGTAGAATCTTCAATAATATCTAGGGGAGTTAAATTAATTACATGCTGGTTTGAGCCAGATGACTTTTCACAGTCCCTTAAACAACATGGCAGATCATAATCACAACTTCCCAACTTGGTGGTCCATGTGCCACTCTTAACCACAAATCCATTTTTGTAGGGATGTAAAACTGAGAAATTCTGTTTCTTCTTTTCAGTGTGACAACAGTTATAATTTTCAGCATCAGGATATATCTCAGATTTATATATCTTAGATTTATCATCATAGAGCCTTCTTTTACTATCTTCAATATTACTAGACAAGGGTTTCTTTTTTCTTCTCCTATCTATTGTATCATAATTCTGAGGATATCTGGAGAATACAGATGTTTCAAACTTATGGTCAAAATTAAGGACTGTAGGGAATTCTGTCTGTTGGTTCTGAGATGGTGTCTTCTTCCAACTATTGTACTTTGGTTGTTTTGGTTGACTATAGTATTTATCAGTTTTTGAAAGATTTTGACTTTCTTTTACCACTGTTTCCTTTTGGTTATCATTTTCTAAAATGTCTTGTGATATTTTCCCTTCTATCTCCTCATATTTATCTTCTTGTTCTTCATAGTCAACATCAGAGAAAGCTGAAATAATCCTAATTTTGTCATATTTAGCCTGTGAGCCTTGCCTAAGGGGTTAAAATTGGAGGAATGGTAGGGCAAAGAAAAAAGGAGAGACAGGGAAAAGAAGAAAAAAGTTATCAAAGAACCTGTTTAATGAAAGGATTAGAATAGTAAAATTGCCAGTAATAAAAAATAAGAAATGGAAATCCATATGTTCTTAATATTATACCGAGTCAAATAGTTTTTTTCCATATCATAAAAAGAACAGCTTTAAAATTTTTAAATGTTTCACTTGCTACCACTGTCATTGCTAGCTTTTTAAGTTTTTTTTATTTTCTAAGAAACAAAAAAAATTAAGCACGCTTTTTCAATATCAACATAGTGTACATAATAGAACTGTTAGGTACAATGGAAAATATACCAAGAGATTTCTTTTATTTATTTTGATCTTTTCCACCAGCATTGGAGATTGATGATCCCAGGGCACTCAATCTCCCAACCCTTTTTATTTTTTGAGACAGGGTCTCACTAAGTGCTGAGGCTGACCTTGAACTTGTGATCCTCCTGTCTAAGCCTCCTGAGTAGATGGGATTACAGGTGTGCTTCACCATACCTGGCTTATCAAGAGATTTCAAGAAACCCAAGTTTGCTGATGCATTTGTGTCTAAAAAGAAGTCAAGCTGTTAACTTGCTGAAAATTATATTTCAGGCTACAAAGACAACAATATGGTCAAACATATTCCTTTTAAAAAGAAAAAAAACAAGCATTACAAAAATAACTTGACTATCAGAAGTCTATCCTTATTATACTACCCAAAACAGCAATTTATTTAAAGTTTTGTAATTTGTTGTTTGAGAAACACAAAGGCTTAACACATCAAGGATCACATTAAAATAAGTATCTTTTCCTGTGCTGATTATAGCAGTAAAAGCCACATGTCTAACACAAAACAATGAATTCATAAGACAGCTCACTTTTCTTTCATTTAGGTTGGAGATGGCCTGGTTCCTGTATTTCTACACACCAAAGGCCTACAGACCAAGGACTTATCAGCTCACTGTGTTCTTTTATAAATCTAACATATACTAGCATTTATTTAGGAAACAGAACAAGATCAAACATGAAGTCCAGAAACAAAATCAAAGTGGTCACTAAAAAATCTTTCAGGGTAAGGCTGACCTTTTATTAACGCTTCTCAATACCAGAAATACTTTGGTTAATAACATCCAACAAAGTTTAATTTCTGTTGTCAAACCTCAAATTATATAAAAATCATGTTATTCTAGATTAATTAAATAAAAGCTCATTTGGTTGCATGATATTTTTTGTATGCAATTTCACAACTCTCCATTATTCTCCAAAAACTCAAACTAAACTTAAATCCAACCTGGAAGGAGTCTTTATAGTTCCAGATTAAATCAACAGCCATGGATACAGTGGAAATAACTATTTATTTTTATACTTTATATTTCCTAGAAAATACATTTTCCCCCTCAAGAATTTTAAACTTTCTTCTTAAAAAACTATGCAACTTAAGATACTGAAAACAGACTTTATAACTGGGCTTTGTGGAACTATGTCCATGAAATTAGTGTTTGCTTTTATAAACAATACTAGTGATAAAATCTCTCCAAAACTCTTAAAGGAAAAATTATTATAAAACATTGAGTTAAAAATGTCTATAGGGCTGAGGTTGTAGTGCTTGTAGTGGGTTGTAGCTGGGGTTGTAGTGCTTGCTTGCTAGTAGTAGAGTGCTTGCCTAGCATATGTGAGGCACTGGGTTCAATTCTCAGCACTGCAAATAAATAAACAAAAATAAAGGTCCACTGACAACTAAAAAAAATACATTTTTTTAAAAATGTCTATAATAAAAAGTTTATGCCAGGTATGGTGGTGCATGCCTGTAATCTTAGCAACTTGGGAGGCTGAGGCAAGAGGATTTAAGTTCAAGGCCAGCCTCAGCAACTTATAGAGACCCTGTCTCAAAATATAAAATAAAAAGGGCTCAGTATGTGACTCAGTGGTTAAGCACCCTTGAGTTCAATCCCTGGTACCAAAAAAGAAAAAAAAAGTTTACTTAAAATTCCTTTTAACTTTTCCTCTGCTGGCCATTATAAAATACTTACTTTTAAATCTCATTTTACCTATTGATTCAGTAAAGCTCAATTTATATGAGAACAATTGAAAATTTTGCAACTTAAAGCATGTCATTAATGCTCTTCCAAGGGTTGTTTATTATAGCAGTAACCCAGGAATAACCAAATAATAAGATAATGGTTAGGAAAATCAGTTTGTCCAAACTGAAGAGTATGCAGTAATTCAGGGATGATCTGTTATCATGACTTTTGGACTGTACCCCTAAAGCTTACAAACACAGAGAAGAAAACTAAAAGAAAATTTTTATTTATGTATTTATTGCAAAAAGAGAAAGAAAAAGTAGAATGGGTCGAGTAGAATAAAGAAAACAGGTCCTGGTGAGGGAGAGGAGAGGCTAAAAGGGAAGTACCAGGTGATTAAACTGATCAAAGTATGTTATATGTGTGAACAAATATGTCACAGTGAAACCCAATATTTTATATAATTATTTTGCACTAATAAAAAATTTAAGCTATTTTTGCAATTATGTTTTTTTTTAAGTAGGACAATGTAAACAATGTAACTAAAATCAAATGAATCAAACAGAAGTATTCAAGCTGAGCACTGTGGCGTGTGCTTGTAATGACAGCTACTCAGGAGGTTGAGGCAGGAGGATCACTTGAGCCTAGGAATTCTAAGTCATCCTGGGCCAAGTAGCAAGACCTCGTCTTAAAAAACAAACAAACAAAAACAGATAAAGAAAAAAACAAGCATTTAAGTTATGAACTACTAAAGAGTAAGAACTTTCTTAATGTGTTTCTCTTCAGAATCAGAATATGAAGAGTCAGAATATGAGAAAATTTAACTGAAAATATTTTTAGAGATGACACAGTAAACTGGGATAGGTACCAGGGCCCCCAAAAGGGGAGTTGGCAGAGTTGAGGGCTTTGGCTTGTCTAGATGGCCTTTTGAAATTAAGCATAAAAATTCACCAGTGTCCAAGTTTAGTGAGCTGGTGAATTTTAGAAATTAAAAATATGAGCTAAGTTGGAATGGGTTTTTTAAAAACTAATCTCTGAACAATAAAATAATTGATTGAAGCAAGGATCAATGGATGCTAAAATCACTTTAAAAGTCTGTAGAATATTAATACAATCTCAGGTATCACCCAGATACTATTAATTACAAAGGAGAAAGAATATTGTTACACTGGAATAAAATAGCACATACCATATTCCTTAACCAAACATCACCATTAGTAAGACAAAGTACATGCTTTCTGAATGCACTGTGAAAGAAACATCACAGTATGTAGTATTTTTGCCAAAAAAAAA